GCTGGAGGTTTCTTCCTGTTAAAAGGGAGTTTTTCCTCTCCACTGTCGCTACAAGCATGCTTAGTGTGAGGGATTAAGGAGAGGATAAAATCATAAGGAAAACAGCAAAGTTACTCTTAATGGTTTTTTGATTAAAAGGATTTTTTAAGTTTAACCCCTAGAATGCTTTTTATTTAAATTTCCATTTACAACAGGGTTCTTTGCTAGCAACAATAATGGAACAAAATTCACTCCATAATTTCTTTCCTTCCAAATTCTGTTCCTTCTCAGATCTGATCTAATCTTTTCTATAAGCTGAATTTCTGCTATATTTGTATGTTCATCAACACACAGGAATCCATCTTGCACTGCTCCATATTTAATCATTCAAGTAAGGGGTCAGCCAATCATCTTTCAGTATTATGTGTTAAATTGGATACACAAAGCTTTGATGAAAGCAAGATCTGATGAGCTCACAGCCAAAGCGAAGCAGACATGGCAGCTCTACATGTAGCTGCTGCTATCACATCTGTTTGATCAAAATGACCATTTTCATCATTGAAAGAGGAATAGTGAAAGTTGTTTCGGTTTCCTATTTAGATGCTTTAATTTATTACCTGATCTGCTAAAAGTAGGGATGTAAGAAAAAAAATTGTTCTGTTAAATAATAGTTCATTGAACCCCAGTCGGCCTCAGCAGATGGCCGCTCACACTGAGCCTGGTTCTGCTGGAGGCTTCTTCCTGTTAAATGGGAGTTTTTCCTCTCCACTGTCGCTACAAGCATGCTTAGTGTGAGGGATTTCATTTTCTGATGTACTGTAAAGTGCCTTGAGATGACATGTTGTGAACTGGCGCTATAGAAATAAACTGAATTGAATTGAATGTCATATCACAAGACAGGTTAGTTAATGTCAGTTAATGAAAAAAGATTTGGGCCTTTAGGAGATCCATTTTAGGCTAGAGATGGGAATGTCCAGGCCAGGTGACGCCACTGGCCCTTTTAGGAAGGACACACATGTGAGCTGCGCTCTGAATAAGAGGTCTGAATTCTTCCAAAAGAGCAGACGCACGATAAATTATCATATTCTTATTTTAAACTCACACAAGTAATCACTTTATACATGCCTTATGGAATGTTTTTGACGCTGAGTCTTAATATTATATAATAACTTCAAGGGTGGAAGAGTGGCTTAGTTGTTTAGTGCATAGCACTTGGAATTCATAAGGTTTTGACTTCAAGCCCCACTCCCACAGACTGCCACTCTGAGTCAATGAGCAAAGGCTCTTCACCCAACACTGCCCCCCGAGCATCGCACAATGGCATCCCACTGCTCCCCGAGCACTGCACAATGGCAGCCCACTGCTCCCCAAGGGGATGGGTGAAATGCAGAGGTGTATTTCTCCAATGTGAGATTAATAAAGTTGAGGAGACACTAATGTATTGCATCCTATTCTAGGCTCATTGCCAGCTTTTCATGTGCCCACAGCTTTTCTCCCACTCGTGTGGATCTGTTTCTGCACACTGGTGTCAACCTTTGTCACCTTGAAGGTGTTAACCACTGGTGAAAATAAAACGCCTATGATTGGCTGTCTATTGTCACAGGGCTGTTTTCTTCCTGGTTGTGGTTGTCACTACCTGATCCATACTGGAAGCTTGATCTGTACCATCACCTCATTTGTGCATATGCAAGCAGCTATTCATGAACCCAAGAACAGAACCATTGTTGAACAAAAAGGAAAAACAAGAAAAAGAAAACAAAAGCCTGTTTCAAAAGCCGAAAACAAACAAAGTAAAAAAGTCTTGAATATACCCAAATATTTGGTAAAAATGTTCAGTGGAAAAAAATGCCGAAAACAGCATATCAGAAAATTTAGCTGCGATAAAACATGATTCTGATGTGATGATCTGAAGCTGTTTTGTCGACCCTGACCTGGACAGCTTGAAAGCACTAACTCTGCTCCGTACAAGAAAATCTCGATTTAGAACATCAAGAGGTCTTGGGTTATTGATGAGGTCAATCTTCTGAAGCATGCCAACAAATCCACCTCAGATTTTCTTTAAAAAATTGGTTTGAAGAGTCCTGGAGAATTTTATCACAAAAAAATTTAGCTAAAATATAAAGAGCAAGAGAAGAGAGCAAAACCCTTTTTTTCTATTTTCATTTCATAAATGTAAGAAAAAAAGCAAAAAAATATTTGAAAAATGTAATTTAGAAATATTTGAACAGGTCTACATGCATACATTTCAGTCACAGCCCAGTGACACAACCTGACTGACTCTTGGTTTAACTACTATAACAATGACTGGTACTGCGCTAAGTACATTTCCACAACCTTAAACAGCGGGGGTGGACTCAGATTTCAGCTTTCAAAAACGTACAATCAGCAATTAAGTTGATCCCGTCCTGCTATCATCGCAACCCCACCCTCATTACAGGAGAGCAGAAGACCTCGCCTATTCAGCCAGGCCAACAATTCCCTTTAACGACCCCCCCTTTCAGAGACTTAGACGAGTATGGGGCATTGCAGGCTAACAAAAGAAGCCAAAGGGCGTTCAGGTGGCGTAGTGGTTAGTGAACACAATCCATGTAAGGAGGCCTTAGTCCTCGACGCAGCCGACCTGGATTTGAATCTGTTGAGCCTGTAGTCCTTAGCCGCATGTCTCTTCCCCTCTCTCATACCCCCTTTCCTGTCACCCTACTGTCAGAAAAACGAGCCACTCTGCCTTAAAAAAAAAAAAAAAAAGCCAAAACGACACCTATTCCAAAGGGGTGTATCCCTTCGTCCGTTCCTATTTGCATGTTTTCAAAACAAAAACAAGGCTTTGTTGGGCTACTGTACAAAACCTTTAAATCAACGCTATTCCTGACATTTTGAATGGAAAAAGCTTCCTGGATGGGAAGCAAAACGTCTTCAAACTTGGAAACAAAGTCCAGTGGATTGCTTTTATTTTTTTTTGGAATGATTATGACCTGGATGACTGAAAATCTTCACCAGCATATAAAAAAAGTAATGATAATTCGGATCTTATTAATTTTGTGCCATGCATCCTTGCCACACTATACAACTATTATTTTGGATCAGCTTTGATTATTTGGATGCATTGCTACAGCCTCCTAGCAGGGTCATTGAACACAGCAATTTTGCAAATCCTTGACTAGCAAGTTCTTCAACTTGCTACTGAAATGGAGGGGTGTTGCTGGTAATCTGAAGTCATAATCTGAGCTCATAATCTTCAAAATAAAGAGAGGCTCCCTGTTGTTGACATTAAGACTTAGAGCTAATCCAAAAATCAATATTTCTGCAGCTTGCATATAATGTAAAGGAGGCAGCAAAGCTGCCCTGTGTATTTAGACTTTATTCAATTTCTTTCTGATTAAACAACATGTATAATAAAACATTACTAATCAGTGTTGGCCTGGCTGTAGATCTATATAATCTGAATTCGTATTGGTTTCTTGACTCTCAGCTATTGCAGAATAAAATTGGGTGTGGCTTTAACCTGTTCCTGAATTCCAGTTCAGGCCTATGAGGCAAGAAGTTGTTGTGCTAGTTTGCCTTTGAACAGTAAACACCAATGTAAGCTCTCTAAATAATTAAATACTTCTTTGTATTTTGATCTTGAATTGACTTTTTTATCACATATAAAATCAATAAAAAAAGACTGGAGACAAATTTCTTTAATATCTAAGTGTATATAAAATTTGACATGTTAGGGTAACTTTTTTCACTGTCTGCTGAAACTGCAGAGGCTGTTTTACCAAAGATGTCTGCTAGGGGCACATTCCACCACTAAAAATGTGTTGTTTGGCTTTTGTGTTTGGTTCACACAGATTACCCTATGACAGATGAGTTGTACAAAGGTTTTTGGGTTCCCCCCCCCCCTATTCCTGCATGTTTTATAATGATTTAAAAAACAAAAAACAAAACATGCATTGGAGCATTGGAAATGTACAGTAGGGATATTCTTTGTCGTTAACAAAGCATGTATCTAAGGCTACATTCACACTGCAGCCTGAAGTAAGCCAAAACCTTTTTTTTGGCCAATATGCGACCTGTATCTAATCTTTTCATGGCTGTCTGAACAACACAGATCCGATTTTTTCCAATCCTACCCAGGCCATTTGGCTATGTGGTCCTGAATCCGATACGAATCAGATCTTTTCAAATCTGACAAAGGTTGCAGACAAAGGTCACTATGCTAGGTCTTGTTAATAAGCAGTGCCAAGAGAAACAACAGCCATAGCAGACGATGATGCGGAGAGCAGTATTTATGTTTAACCATCTTGAAAGATTGTGTTTTTATGGTTGGGAAAGATCGCTAGGTGCACTCCAGCAATACCATCCATGTTTACTTCCGTAAACACAGAGCACGCTGGCGTGTGACATCATTGCGTCCTCTACTGTATATTGTATGACTGCAGTTCACACAGGAGATCACATGCAAGTTACATATACATACAAACAAATCAGATTTCACAAAAAAATCTGAATTGAGCTTGAAGGCCTGCAGTGTGAACGTAGCCAAAAGGCGTTTTTTTTTATTTTTATTGTGCATTCCCTCTGCTTTCTTTTACAAGGGTGTATTGCCCGTTGCATTTTTAATTCCATATGTTCATATGCATTCCCATCTATCTAGCTATAATTATGATAACTTTGAATCACACGATTAACCATAAACCATCCCTATCGACGTCCAACAATGTCGGCATTCTTGCCTGAGGTGGTATCCTGAATGGTCCGGATAAAGACGATGTTTTCTCATGAATCTCTTTCCCTTTCCTCTCCAGAGCACCACTCTGATCCTTTGGATTGGTCTCATTGTGTCCTGTAGCATTCAGATGGTGTTTTCTGCCCGTTGCCTCGCCGCCTGTGCTTCCTTCTTAGGACTTCCCGGTTGCCCCAAAAGAATGAGGCGTAAAACCATCACTAGACCGGTAAGTCTTCAACCGTTCATTGTGCTTTTAAAATGTCATTCGTTAAGGAGATTTATTTGGACTGTTTTGAAAATCACTTTCCAAAATTTTGCTTGTTTAGATCGAGGTAAAACCAGCAAAAGATGCCTCCCGGCCGCGCTATAGTGAACCCCCAAGACGGCACCATGACACTTCACGGGTGTATGCTGAACCTCCAAGAATCCATAATATGCAGCCTCGACATCATACCGAGCATACCAGACGCCATGATGAACGTTCTCAACTTCACATCAACTCTCCTGTAAACCACAATAAACCAACCAAACATTATACCGAGCCTCCAAGAACCAACAAGAAACCATCAAGGCGCACTACCACGCCTCCACGACCGGAGCACCAAGCTCCTTCAAGACATCTCCCTTACCACGGTCGGAGTACTCCCCACTCAGAAAGGGAGCCTCTTCGGCAATCTCACAGCGAATGGTCGGACATAGAACGTCAAGAAACAAGGAGCAGCAGTCAACAAAGGGGACGGGAACCGCGCCATGACCTGAGGAGGGGCACATCCAACAGGTCCAGCTTTTGGATATAGTTCTTTATAAATTGCGCATTGTCGTTTGTTGCTGCTGAAGCCTCCAAGGTGTCCAGGATGATGCAGAGAAGAATCTCTTTACCCTAAGACTACAGCTTTTACTAGCCATAGTGTCAGGGACTGTAGGCATTATGTTTTTATTCTGCAAGTCAAGGAGTTTTTTCTGAAATTCAGGACATTGTGTGCTTGTGAATGTTGGTGCTGATCTTCCTGGTTATATTAGACAGAGAGCATTAGAAATGACTGTTTTACCTTTTAATCTTAAAGCATGGTGCCATCCTACAGTAAAAAGGAGAAGCTGTTTGTTTTTTGGGGAGGTTTAGCCATGAAATGGAAGGTATAATACCTTTCTATGTATCACAGGCTCTGAGAAAAGGCCTGGAGGCCAAATTAAGCTGTTCAACCACCCAGTTCTCTATCAATGGAGGAACAGACCAGCAATGTTTTTGTTTTTATTATGGAAACCTTTACTGATTTTACTTCAACTGCATGAGCGTGAACATATGTTTATTCAAACTGTACTGCCCTACCATACCGATACCATTTGAAAATGATAGCTGAGCTGGACTCGACAAAGCTTAGCTTGACTAGATAAACATAAAGCTAGTTAGGTAAACGTTATATATGTACTCTGCACAATCAATAATTTATTTATTTTACTTAAGGTGGGAAGAATCAGACTGAAGTTCTGTCCGGGGAGGACATTTCATAGGTCTCAAAGACTCAAATGGAAACGGAGATGGAAAAAACAGAATGGGTGTTAATGATGAGCTGTAACAGCTCCTGTTCTTAAAGTTCTGGTACTAAAGTTTGAGGAAATCCTTTTGTTTTAACCGATTATATAAAGGCCAAAATAAAAAGAAAAATATCCCCCAAAACTAATCTGAAGCCTATAAATAGTGTTACAAAAGTTTGACTAAAGCGTATATGGACAAGGCTAGGCTAACTACTAAAGGTCAAAGTTCACAGATTAGCCTCCTCATAAAAATGGACTCGATATTTATTATGACAAATACTTTAAAGTTTCCGAACATTCATTAAAAGGCTAAATGTGTGACTGTCCTTATTTAAAAACATAAGCAAAGTTGGTGAAGAAAAAAGAGGCTTTAATAGATGCTAAAGAGCATGCTAGCTTCATGTTAGCAGAAACAACAGAATGAATGCTGAGCCGTAAGAGCTCCTGTTCTTAAAGTTTTGGTACCAAAGTTTAAGAAAACAAATCCTTTTGTTTTAACCGATTATATAAAGGCCAAAATAAAAATAAAAAATCCACCAAAACTAATCTGAAGCTATTAATAGTATAACAAATGTTTGACTAAAGCATATATGGACAACGCTTCGCTAACTGCTAAATCAGAGTTCACAGATTAGCTTCCTCATAAAAAGGGGCTTAAAATTTATTGTGACAAGTAGTTTGAAGTTTCTCAACATTAATTAAAAGGCTAAATGTGGGACTCTGTTCTCAATTAAAAACATAAGCAAGTTGGTGAAGAAAAAAGGGACTTTAATGGATGCTAAAGAGCATGCTAGCTTCATGTTAGCCGAAACAACAGAATGGGTGTTAATGATGAGATGTGAGAGCTCCTGTTCTTAAAGTTCTGATACCAAAGTTTGAGGAAACAAATCTGTTTGTTTTAACCGATTATATAAAGGTCAAAATATCCACCAAAACTAATCTGAAGCCTATTAATAGTTTTACAAAAGTTTGGCTAAAGCATATATGGACAACGCTTTGCTTAGTGCTATAGGTCAGAGTTCACAGATGAGCATACTCATAAAAATGGGCTCAAAACTTCTTATGACAAATAGTTTAAAGTTTCTGAACATTCATTAAAATGCTAAATGTGGGACTCTGTTTGAAAAACAAGCAAGTTTGTGAGGAAAAAAGAGGCTTTAATCATGCATGCTAGCTTTAGCTAGTAGCATTGTTAGATTTTTTACAAAAACAGAAAAATTTGTTCAATCCCTCAGAACTTTAAGAACAAAACGGTATCATTCTTGTTCTTGGAACATTTTGGTGTCAAACAACTGTGATTGGTCAGCTAAGGCAAAGTGGACAACAGCCCAATGAACGCTGCGGTGGGAGCTACATATGTGGAAATACATTTAAGGCAATTAACTCAGTGCTTTGTTCTTGCCACTCTTAGTAAAGGAAAGTATTTCTATATTCAAACCCTGAACAGGTGTTACAGTGAGCAAAATACATTTTTTTCATCACAGAAGCCTAATTTAGTTTTATATTGTGTTCTCTGTTTATACTTGAAATATGATAGCTGAGCTGGACTCAACTTTGTTTAGCTCGACTGGATACACAAGAGTTAGTCTGACTCTGTTGAAAGAGAACAAATCTGCAACATAGCACCAAAGTATTGAAGCAACTTATGGACAAATCTGTGCTTTCTTTATGTCGGAGTCGGGCGACACAAACCTGCTTAAACTAGATCGTCTGTTTATTTTAAATTTTTTTCAAATGCCTCATTCCCAAAACAGTGAATTATTTTCCCCAAACATTTGAGTTGAAAAACAAATACTGAAATGTTACTTGTCTGGATACCTGCCTTTTATGGTTTCCTTTGCCAGTGTGAGATTTTAATGATTGTATCTTTTTGTGCCTAAACGTCACTGCCAGTGGTATTTATTTTTTAAGCGAATAAAGTTTTTTATATTGAGATTCAACCTTCATGTTTTTTTTGTGTCTCTGAACTGTGTTTGTTATTATTGCGCAGCAGCCAGTGGCCTGACAGGTAGGACTGGTCTATCTCTGGCAAACCTATGGAAAACAATGTCATGTTTTTGCATTTAATCCTCCCTGGTGAGTGTCATTAAGGCCCTTTATTCCTTTCTATGTAGAAAGGTAACACTGCTTTTGTATGCAAATAGAAATGAGGACGCGGTCGACACACGCTGCTTTGAAACACAGAGGGTATATTTTTATATCTTTATTGTCAAGTTCAACAGAACAAACAGTGCATCCTCACATGAGGTTTTCATGCAACAGAAAAATAGTGCAGGAACAGGAGGGGAGAAATAAAGGAGTAGCTTATTTTCTTCAAGACAAGATACCGGTTTATCATAAGAGGCAGTGATAATAGAAAAACAAACTGAAGAAAATGAAGAGATTCTGACTGTTGTTCCTTATCCTACCAGCAGAAGGCAGTGATACTTAAGGATCCCAAAAGCAGAGGTGCTGCTGGATAGGTAGCTTCTGGTCATAACATTTGGTACAAGCTGATTTAGAGCCAAATCGGTTGGAAAAAGTGGCACTGGGACAGATTTTAGGCTAACAGGGGTCATTTTGTTGCATCTAGCTTTTGAAGTCTCTGACAAATTTATATTTACTAAAAATTTGTAAAAACCGAGAGGCTAATAAGAGATCCAGATTTCATCTTAGAGCAGTGCAAGCATCTATGTCTCAATAAAACTTCAAGAATCATTTTTGAGGCGATTTTAGCTGTTTTTATTTGAACTTGAACTTGAAAGCAATCATCACATGGTTTTTCATCATTTTGACGTACTAAGTCAAGTAAGTAAGTATGATTTTCAAAGTCTTGATTATGAAATAATGTCATAATTGTGGGATATAAACTATGAGATTTAAGTCATAATTATGAAATGGTCTTAACTTGGAGCTATAAAGTCATTATTTTGACTTTCAAATTCATAATTATTAGATAACCAATCAGATATATTGCCATAACTTTGTATCTCTTAATCATGACATTGAGAGTCAAAAATATGACTTTAAATTTGCTCCATAAATCTGGAATAAACTCCCATAAAACAGTAAAAGCAGTGAAATTCTCAGGTGCTTTAAATTGAGACTAAAACATGTTTAGAGTGGCCTTTGTCTGAGATATGTAAGCATTATGTTTAAAGTGTTTTTAGTCAATTTTCTTCTTCTTATTATTATTATATTATTTCTCATTTTATAGCTTTCTATATATATATGTATATACATATATACATATATATGTATATATATACATATATACACATACACAGTATATACATATATATATGTATATATATACACAGTATATATATATATATATATATATATATACACAGTATATATATATATATATATATATATATATATATATATATGCAAATGCCACTTATTCTGCTGTGTCCCTTTCAATTTTTTTTTAACCTTTTTTTGGCTATTTGCCACTGAAATGCACTCTTTTTTTCCCGCATGTACAGCATTTTGAATTGCCTTGCCACTGAAATATACTATGAAATATCTTGCCTAATCATGACTTTAAATCTCATAAATATAAAATCCCATATATCTTTTATTTTTTATGAAGTGGCAGAAATGGGCTTCCATAAGAAACAGAATCAAGCAAACCAGGACCAGAATGTTACCCTGCTGCCCTCTACTGAAACGCGCCTCTACAAGTGACTGCTGCTCAATTAAAATTTTGAAAATCGTTTAGCATAAAAGTGATGAAACAAGCCCTTAGTGAGTTCTCTGTCTGTCAGAGGAGAAAAAAGGAAGGAGGAATAGTAGGGCTGCTCCAAAGATGGAGAAGTACTCATTTCTGAGAGGGCTGGCGAGCTCCACATCACTGTGTGTAAACTGATGTTGTTGTTGCCTGTGTCTTGCTCATAGGACCATGCATTATAGTGACAGGTTACAACTACCTTAAAGTTTACAGCTCGATATTAAAGGATTCTAAGATACTAACGATAACTAGCAAAGTTGTTTGTACCTTATGAACGATTGAACATTTTGTCACATTACAACCACCAAACTACGATGCACTTCATTGGGATTTTATGTGACCGGATCAAGAAAAAGTTGTGCACAATTACAGAGTGTAAGAAAAAAATGTAGGAAGAAAACAAAAATAGTTTTTTCCTCTTTGGATTTCATGCAAAACAGTTACACTGCTCCCCACTCTGAACAAAAACACCTCCATGCTGGATACAGTGGTTGAAGCATCATGCTGTGGGAGATTTCACTTTGATGGAAAATGTATGGAATCCCTCAAAAGGGCATGAATCGGAAGCAGCTGTGAGCTCAGTGCTAAATCTATAGCAGCTGCAGAAATTCAGGTGGGAGAAATAGGAAACTAAAGTCTAGGTTAGACCTTCATCCTCCAGATGTGTCAGGAGAAATTGTGCCAAATGTCTCAGACTTATATACACTTCCTTGTGGTGTAATGCACTAACTGCAGTCTCTATTTTTCAACAATCATTAGTGACAGAAGAAGAACATATAGTGTAATCTAGAAAAACAGCTTTAAAGAGCGTAACAACTTAGAAGTTGGTTTATACTTTTTTTTTTATTTATTCTTCAGATTCTACTTTTTCCATTTATTTTATATCTAAAAATTGAACTATTTTAAATGTATTTTTTGTATTTTAAATGTAAATCTTACTGTTCTAACAGAGTTCTAAAAGGTATCCACATATTGGGGGCTTGACGCACGTCTTGCAGATGTATCAATTTTTTTTTTTAAGCAAGGTTTCATTTATTTAGAGTATACAAATCTGCAATACTACGACGGAGTATTAGGGCCTGGCTAGGGATTTTTTTTATTTTGAGAATAAAGTTATAACATTACGAGAATAAAGCTGTAATATTATGAGAATAAAGTCGTAATATTATGAGAATAAAGTTGTAA